CCCAGAGGCCCGCTCGCTGCTTCTCCAGAGGCCATCCTCCTGCTTCCCCCAGAGCCCCTCCGGCTGGGTTCAATGGGGGGCTTCTGGTCAGCCAGGAGGAAAGCCTTAGATGATGCTGGGCGTCCTCCAGCCAGGAAGTGAAGCGGGCTCCTCTGACTTGTCACATCCGATGCCAGTGAATGGATTCCTACAAAAGAAACAATGTCACAATCCTGAAGATTTCTGATTGGAGGATTCATGACACCTGACGGCTCCTCATTTCTCCACAGCGGAGTCATAGAGGAGGACTACAAATCCCAGCACACCATTACCTAATGATAAAGAACAGATTAGACAGGAAGTGACCCGCCAGCTCTGGTAGAACTAAAGTCCCAACCTGCCATGTCCTTAGCTACAGTAGGACTACAAGTCCCAGCCTGCCATGCACACAGCTACAGGAGGACTACAAGTCCCAGCCTGCCATGCACACAGCTACAGGAGGACTACAAGTCCCAGCCTGCCATGCACACAGCAGCAGGAGGACTACAAGTCCCAGCCCGCCATGCACACAGCTACAGGAGGACTACAAGTCCCAGCCTGCCATGCATACAGCTACAGGAGGACTACAAGTCCCAGCCTGCCATGCACACAGCTACAAGAGGACTACAAGTCCCAGCCTGCCATGTGCACAGCTACAGAACTATAAGTCCCAGAGGGCCATGTGCACAGCTACAGAACTATAAGTCCCAGAGGGCCTTGTGCACAGCTACAGGAGGACTACAAGTCCCAGCCTGCCATGTGCACAGCTACAGAACTATAAGTCCCAGAGGGCCATGTGCACAGCTACAGAACTATAAGTCCCAGAGGGCCATGTGCACAGCTACAGAACTATAAGTCCCAGAGGGCCTTGTGCACAGCTACAGGAGGACTACAAGTCCCAGAGTGCCATGTCCTTAGCTACAGGAGGACTACAAGTCCCAGCCTGCCATGCACAGCTACAGGAGGACTACAAGTCCCAGCCTGCCTTGCACAGCTACAGGAGGACTACAAGTCCCAGTCGGCCATGTCCACAGCTACAGGAGGACTACAAGTCCCAGCCGGCCATGTGCACAGCTACAGGAGGACTACAAGTCCCAGCCGGCCATGTCCACAGCTACAGGAGGACTACAAGTCCCAGCCGGCCATGTCCACAGCTACAGGAGGACTACAAGTCCCAGCCGGCCATGTCCACAGCTACACGGGGACTACAAGTCCCAGCCTGCCATGCACACAGCTACAAAAGGACTACAAGTCCCAGCCTGCCATGCACACAGCTACATGAGGACTACAAGTCCCAGCCTGCCATGCATATAGCTACAGGAGGACTACAAGTCTCAGCCTGCCATGCACACAGCTACAAGAGGACTACAAGTCCCAGCCTGCCATGTGCACAGCTACAGAACTATAAGTCCCAGAGGGCCATGTGCACAGCTACAGGTGGAATACAAGTCCCAGCCTGCCATGCACACAGCTACAGAAGGATTACAAGTCCCAGCCTGCCATGCACACAGCTACAGGAGGACTACAAGTCCCAGCCTGCCATGTGCACAGCTACAGAACTATAAGTCCCAGAGGGCCATGTGCACAGCTACAGGTGGACTACAGGCCTCATGCCCCCCCCCTTACTGCGCTCTTTCTGACCTTTGCTCGGTGAGCTCGGTGTCACCGTGGCCGCGCCGGGGGGGAGTGTCGGTCAGGGGCGCGCAGCAGTGTCGGGGCCGCGCCCGGGTCACTCTCTCCTCGTACACCGGGACGATGGCCGGGAGGCGGTTGGTTCTCTTTGATCTGGGAGGGGTTCTCCTCACCCCCGGGATACAGGCCGCCTTCACCCGCCTGGAGGAGAGCCTGAGCCTGCCGGGGTGAGTCCTCTGTCATGGCGGCGCTATGGACTCTGCGCGGAGGATTCTGGGACTGGGGACTACGTATAGGACTGCTGTCATATGGGATAGGGGGGCTGTGCTAGGACTGGGGACTCTGTATGGGACTGCTGTCATATGAGGAGGGGGGCTGTATAGGACTGGGAGGGGGGCTGTGGTGGGAGAGGGGGCTCTGTATAGTTGTATTGGTGCTCAGTGGTCAGCCCCCATAGGGAGTGAGTCCCACCAACTGCCCTCCCCATGGTCCGTAATGTACTTTTTGGCCACTTATTGGCCTCCTGAATCCCCCTTCGTCACCCTCCTAAGACCCGCCACACTGAACGATAATCCAGCTATACTTACCTTTCCTCCGAGATCCTATTGGCTGGCTCAGTGATGTCATTAGTCCTTCCTCTTCCTGTCTGGCTTGTGCAGTCCTTCCTCTGTCACTGTGTGATGACCTTTGCCCCCAGGGGGGCGGTTCCATGACAGCCTGGCCTCAGAGGAAGAGGGATGAATGGTGCTGGCTGTCATTCATCCTAAAGGACTGGTGGCATCTAGTGGTGAGAATGAAGTACTACAGGAAGTGTGTGTGGGGGATGCATTGTTTTGTCTTTTTGCCCCTCGGTGAATAGTCCTGATATGGCGTCTCTATAAGAAGACATTTTCCTTACAAATCTCCTTGTTCTGTTTTGCGTTGCCAGCGGTTTCCTCATGAAAGTGTTTGTGAAGAGCGGTGCGGATGGACCCTTCGCCCGGGCGGAGAGAGGCCAGATCCCCTTCTCTAAGGTAATACAAAGCTGTGACGGAATGATCCAACTCGTTGCTCATCGCTATAAATAATCAGCAACAGTGACCGATACCATTCAATGTTCAATAATAAAAAAAAAGTGTTACATTCTGAAGTGAATGATTTCATAGGTAGAATGTTCGGGAGGTTCCTGCGTGACGCCTGTCCGGGATCGGGGCTTAGAACCTTCCTGCCTGATGGAGAGGTCGGATCCTCGGGACTCCGGCCATGTCTAAAGACTCTCCTCACACGTCTTCATGTCTCTGCTTTCTAATCTTTACTTTGTATCTTCTTCTTCTAAATAAACTTTCCAAACCTTTCCCCATGAGCGGAGATGGCGGATTCCCTTATCAATTGGTGGAGAATGCGGGCAATTGTTTTGTTATAAAATGTTACAATTCATTCCTTCTGTTTTTTTTACACACATGTGAATGAGTTGTTGCTTCGCTACTCCTCCTCCCCTCCGTGTTCTTATCCAGGATTTATATAGAGCCCGCTGTCCCCACAGAACTTTATTACACAAAGGAAAAACATACATTTACAATAGAACTCAAAGTGAAAGTAAACCCTAAAGGTAAATCTTAGAAATACATTCCGGTCCCTGAACTCTGAGCAACAATGTATCTCATTTGTATCGCTCGGCTGTAGCGCCCCCAATCATCTCTGACTTGGTGCTGACACTGTCCTTCCTTCTGGAGGGGGAGGGGGGCTACTTCTGTTCCCCATGGTCCCTGTGTGTGTTGTAAAGAAGTCACCCAGGGATGCACCGATACCGAGTATTTGGGTGCGTACTCGCCCAAATGCTCCGATACCTTCCCCAATACCGGAACTTCCGGCCAGAGGAAGACTTCCTCTGAGCGGCAGTGCCCGTAGATCAGGGGTAGACAAACTCCGGCCCTCCAGCTGTGGTGGAACTACAAATCCCATGAGGCATTGCAAGATCCTCACTGCCACAGACATGACTCCCGGGATTTGTAGTTTCACCACCGCTGGAGGGCCGGAGTTTGGCTACCCCTGCCGAAAGGGGACATGGAGCTGGCTTCCTGGGTAACCTCCTGGCTTCCTGATTGGCTAAACAGCCGGCTTGATACTGATTGGCTGGAAATAAGGCTTTCCTGCTAATCAGCATGGAGCCGGCTCCCCGGCCAATCAGGAAGCCAGGAGGCGGGTCATTACTCACTGCCCGGCTTCCTGATTTGGCCGGGAAGCCGGCTCGATGCTGATTGACTGGGAAGCCGGTTTCCTGGCCAGTCATCATCGAGCCGCCTCCTTGCTGCTTGGCTGGGGAGGCGGGGTTCCCA